TCCTTCAGCTTCCTTTACTCAGAATTTGTCTCCTTTCTAGCCAGAACATTCTCCTTCCCTGGCCACCCCTCTCCCCTTGGCTTTGGAAGGCAAACTTTACCTAATCTCTTCTGTTTAATAATCCTAAATCTTAGTGGTTTAAGGGCCTCAGTATTAGTACACACAAGCACACATATATACATTTAAGAACACAGAATGTTTTATTATCAGCTCATTGTACTTTGTATAATATTTTGTATAATATTTGTTTAATAAATTCACCCTTAAAGTATAAGCCTTTGTCAGTTAGGCCTGGCCTCCCTATCTCCTGGACCCCAAGGTCTTATTCACTTGAATCTCCCAGTCCATGGTCCATGGAATATCAAGTTTCTCTGAGTTATATGTTACTCCTCATGGACTTAGGCTCCCATGGTCACTTCCGCCTCTGGACTCCTCTCTCTGCTTGTGCTGGCTCAGTTTACATTGACCTAGAGGGGAAACTCTACCCCTTTATCATCTTCTATGAAAACCCATTCACTAAATTACTTGCTGATTTTGTAAAACACTCATAACAAAATAGAGATATATGGATACTTCCTAAACATGACAAAAAACTTTATGCCAATCTAAAAGTTCACAAAATGCTTAATGGATAAACACTAGACATCTTTTCACAAAAATTAGGAATGTCTACTGCCACTTTTATTTAACATTTTGCTGGAAAGTCTTAGCCCATGCCGGAGAAAGAAATTAGAGGTATTAGGCTGGGCGCAGGGGCTCACACCTGTAATCCCAGCACTTTGAGAGGCCGAGGTGGGTGGATTGCCTGAGGTCAGGAGTTCAAGACCAGCCTGGCCAACATGGTGAAACACCATCTCTACTAAGAAACAAAAACAAAAACAAAAAACAAAAATCAGCTGGGCGTGGTGGCAGGCACCTGTAATCCCACCTACTTGGGAGGCTGAGATAGGAGGATCACTTGAACTTGGGAGGTGGAGGTTGCAGTGAGCCGAGATTGTGCCATTACACTCCAGCCTGGGCAACAAGAGCGAGACTTCGTCTCAAAAGAAAAGAAAAGAAATTAGAGGCATTAAAGTTGGATGGGAGGAAGTAAAATCATTATTAGTTGAGATTATATGAAATAATCCCTGGGAAATCCAAAATAAACACACAAACATTAAGACTAAAGACAAGAGAATCCAAAACATAGCAGAGCATAAAATGGATTTAGTCATTGGAGCTTGTCTTTAGTCCATTTTGTGTTACTACAGCAAAATACCTGAGGCTGGGTAGTTTATAAAGAAAAGAGGTTTGCTTGGCTTACAGTTCTACAGGCTGTTCAAGAAGCATGGAACCAGCATCTTCTCAGCTTCTGGTGAGGGCTTTCATGTTGAATCAGACATAGCAGAGAAGGTCAAAGGCGAACCAGGTACATGTGAAGAGAAAGTAAACATGAGGGGGATCCTCACTTTGTAACAATCCTGCTGTTTCTGGAACTAATCCATTCCCCTTAGAATTAATCCAGTCTCACGAGAGTAAGAACCCACTACCATAAGAAAGTCACCAAGTCATTCATGAAGGATTTGCCCCATGACCCAGACACCTTCCATTAGGCCCCAGCTCCCAGCACTGCCACACTGGGGATTAAATTTCAAAATTAGCTTTGATGGGGACAAACAAGTCATATTAATACCATAGCACAGCTATACCTTATTCCTTTCACCAGGATAAGTTTCAAATATATAAATGGTTTAAAGGAAAAAGTATAATTTTTTTAATTGAAGAAACTTGGGAGAATTTAGGACTTAAAGAAAATGTTTTTAATTATGCCACAACATCCAGAAATCATAGATTATAAATTTAAGATCCATAAAAACTACTCAAAGCAAAACTTAGCAGAAGCAAAAACAAAAAAAAGAGATAATTTTAAAAAATATTCCAACCTCATAGTATAGAAGGTTAATTTCCTTATAAAGAATGTCTACAAATCAATTTTTTAAAAAAGCAATACACTGTGTTGATGAAGGTGTGGAAAAACAGGCACTCTCATCCACTCCTGAGGGAAGGTACAAGTGGTGCAACCACCTATCCTGGGTCATTTAGAAGTGACTATCAAAGTTTTAAAAGCACATTCCCTTTGACACAGTCATTTTAATTCTAGGTATTACACAGATATGCTCACACAGTGTGAGAAATGATGTAAGCACAACATTACTCACTGTAGTATTGTTGTAATAGGAAAGTATTGGAAATAACATAAATTTAGTTCATTAGTAAGGGACCAGTTACATAAATTGTATTAATCTATATGATGGAATAGTGTACATGTCCTAAATAAAAACAAAATGGAACACTGTATGTACTGATATGAAAAATTGTATTTTAATTATTGAATCTGTTAAATAAAAAGAAAGATGGATATGGAAAACCTCCAAGATATTTTAGGTGAAGAATAACAGTTACATCCCTATGTAAAGTATGCTACTATTTGTGTTTTAAAAATGGGGTCCCCCAAAGCACATTTCTTTGAAAACTGCATTTCATGTTGTGGTGGTAGAGAATGGTTTGTCAGCTTGTCTTTTGTGGGTTTAATCTTTCAATCCCACTTTACAATGAGTCCAAACCACTCAGAGAGCTTTCCCTTCCTTCCTCTAAAGCCACTCATGCCTTGCCTTATTGATTTTCCTTCTATTACTCCTATTTTCTCCCATTTGTTAATTCACAATGCTTAGAATAAAAAATAAAACTGTCAAGGAGGAAGGAATTTAGGTTGGCTAGTGAAGCATTCTCTTCCTAATAGGAAAGCCAAACTAAAGTCGCGAAGTTCTTTGGTAAATTTGGAATGAGAGCAAAGAAAACCAAAGCCTTGAAGGATTTTACCATCCATTTTTATGGCTTAACATCCAAGCAAATCTGATAACTTACTTTTTCTTATCTGCAACCAGCTCTTTCTTGAGTTCTAATTCTGTATTCTGAACTGCTTCTTGGATTTCACTGCTTAGATAACCATTATCATCTGAAGTGCAATGTGTCTAAACTGAACTCATCTTGCCCCAACACTAAATATTTCTCAAAATTAGCAGCCATTTTTTTACTCCTCTCTTATTTGCTTCACCTTAGCTTTCTCTTTATGCAGTAAGGTGGTAATTTCAGACAACTGTAATCTACCATGCTTCTCCTTTTTAAAAGAATAAGTATGTCAGAAGGTCTTTGGTTACAGTTTATGCTTTAAAAATTGGAGGGCAAATCCAATACCCACTGGAAATTTCATTAACATAACCCTATGGTTTGTCCATTTCTCTCTACCATTAGTAACCAAATCCACTACTAATTATTTTGATAGGGAAGAAAACATGAAATTCCTCACTCCTCTAGGCAAGACTATACTGATGTCTCCTGCCTATGTGGGTGGTGACTCACATGGCTCTCCAGAGCTCCTCCCCAGAGCAATGTTCACTTCAGCCATTCTTACCAGTGCTATTCCCATCTTTTTCGGCACACCATGTTAAATCTAGTGACTCATAAAGGCCCACTTGTGGCAACAACTGGATCAGCAACTTAATCTTAATAACTTCAATAATAATAATTGTCCTCACCACTTGAAAATAGCGAGTCCCCACCCCCACTTCTGCTTCTGAATGATTGTGTGTATTGGTTCGGGGTAGAAAGAAGGGACAATGAGTTATAGTCCCAGTGTAGTTACATAATGCACACTACATGCCAGTATGTTTGCATTTGTGTATATATACATATATTGAGCAAGCTGAGAAAGTAGAAGCTCATGCTCTAGCTGCCAGGTATCAAGGAGAGGAAGTTTCTGGCCTTTGGTTTTCCAAGAATAGGGTCTCTTCACTTTAATATTATTGACATTTGGGGCCAGATAAGTCTTTGTTGCTAGAGTTGGCCTTTGCATTGTAGGATGCTTAGCAGAATGCCAGACTTCTATCCACTTGATTTCAGTAGCAACCACTACCCTCAGTATGACAACCGAAAATGTCTCCAGATATTGTCAAATACCCCCAGGATAGGGACAGCAAAATCAGCCCCAGTTGAGAAGCACTGCCATAGAGGGAATCAGGGCCCTGTCTCCTGTCAAATCTCATACCTGCTGAATTCCCCAGCATGAGAAGAGGCTGGGCAATCTCCCTGCTGGCATTCATCAAATAATAGTCTTAAGTTTTCTGAATTGACCCCATTGCAGGTCCACTCGGACCACCTTGGCAGGTATCAAGGAAAGACCAGTCTTAAATAAGTACAGCTATAAATTAGAGAAACTTTCTCAAAAAGCAATGCTCTGTATACACATGGAGACATGAAACCAGGGTTCCTATAAGAAATTGGGAGTGATTCGTCATATAAGGTAGTCATCCACAATCAGTGAATTAATTCAATTTTTTTTTTTGAGACAGAGTCTCACTCTGTTACCCAAGCTGGATTGCAATGGCATCGTCTCGGCTCACTGCAACCTCCATCTCCCGAGTTCAAGCAATGCTCCCGCCTCAGCCTCCCAAGTAGCTGGGGCTACAGGTGCATGCCACCACACCCAGCTAATTGTTGTATTTTTAGTAGAGATGGGGTTTCACTATGTTGGCCAGGCTGGTCTTGAACTCCTGACCTCGTGATCTGCCCGTCTTGCCCTCCCAAAGTGCTGGGATTACAGGCGTGAGCCACCGCGCCCAGCCAATTAATTCAATTTTTAGAGGTCTATGTGAAGAAACTCTCGACTCTCATCAAAACACAAAAAAGCTTGGGACTTACCAATTAGTAATAATATATCCTCTAAAGTTATTACAATGGTTGTGAGAATAATAAACAGAATGATAACCTCTGGCCATCTCTAATTTTACTGGCAATAAATCCCTTTAAGGAAAAGTAGTGTTTATTTCCAAGAGTAAGAGGCACCCCCGGCCTTTGATGTAGACATGGTTTCTCTGAGTACACGTGATGAATCCTGGCAGACTCCATGGAACACAGACCTATAAGGGGGGTGGGGGTCTCCTAGCTATATCTTAGGAACTTACCTTCATTCATTTAGGCCTTAGCAAAGATCACAGTCTATGAAGTTCATGGGCAGTGCTGGCATAGAACCAAGTGAAGGTCTCCAGGCGTAACTAGAGAGTGGTGAAGAGCAAAGTTGAGAAAAACAAGCTATCTCTATTGTCAGATCAAATAATTCTTCTTTTTAAAAACCATTCCATGGCTTCACATTTCAATTAAAAGAAAATGTAACTTCCTCCTCATGGCCTATGGCATGATCCAGCCCCAACATCACCTCCTACTATTCTGCCCCCAACTCATTCTGTGTGGGCCACACTGGTCTTTCCCTGTTCCTTCTGATCTCAGAACATTTTACCATGGAATTCTCATTGTCTGGACCACTCTTTGCATTGATCTTTACATGGCTGGGTCCTTCTCAACATTCAGGTCTCAGCTAAAATGTCACCCTTCTTAGAGAGGTCTTTGTTGACAACTATATCTGAGAAGGTATCCTGAGCTCTCAATCTGTATCGTGCACACTGATCATCTGGGGATCATGTTACAAGACAGACTTTGACTCGGTGGTTCTGGGGTGGGACTTGAAATTCTGCATTTCTAACAATCTCCCGAGGAATACAAACTTTCTGCTCCACAGATCATCTACCCACAGGGGTGGGTAGACCCCCATTCCTCAGTCTTTGTCACACTACCTGTGTCATTTAATTGGTGGCTTTTATCAGGATCTGAAATTATTTATTTATCTGTTTGTGCTGGATTGTTTGTTGTCTGACCTATTCATTTACTAGAATGTAAATTCCCTGAGAGCAAGGAGTCTGCCTAGCACTTTTAAATTCTCAGCACTTCCCACAGTACCTGACACATCATAGGTGCTCCACAAATATTGTTGAATGAGTGATGTTGTTTAAGATTCATTGACTCTGTGATCCCTTCAGTGTCTGCTTCTGACTGCTTCAGTGAGCACTCAATTATACAACGGAAACTACACTGTAATGATAGGGCAGTGCTACTCAAGCGCCAGTCCAGGAACTGCTATGTATTGGCCAATGCTGAATTAAGAATCTTGTACTATAATATAAATCTGCTATGCCACTAAGCACAATTTTATCTGAGATGAGACATTTTTCATAGTAAGACTTTCTGGATGAAACAAGCAATGCTTTGCCTTGCCTTGTGGTGAAAGCTCCTCATCTTATATTAGAATGGTAACAGTGTGTGAACTGGTCCCCACTGGCAGGACACATTTTGAGTTGTGCTGATATAGGGGATATAAAGCCAAATAAGATCTATTTTTTAACTTCAGAAAATCGATACATAGGTAAGAGAATTACACATTCAAATATGTAGTTGCAAATCTTTTGTCAAGTGCTGTAATATGGAATTAAGTGGAAGAACTCAGGCATTGTAGAAAAAAACAAAGAATTGGTCTTTATGCTCCCGCTTAGTCACACCTTTCCTGACACCTGCTCTCATTATAATCACAAACTCTCACACCGTACCCCTTCCTCCTAATCACACACCGCTCATCTGGGCCACGCTCCTCCACTTGGGCCCTGAAACACTGAAGTTATAGGACCAGGCTTGGGTCTTCTGAGAAATTGTGAAAGAGAACTGAGAATTGTGGTAGAGGACAGAAAATGATAGGAAAGATAGGTAATTGTGGGAGAAGGGAGAATTGTGGGAAAGAATAAAGTATCATGAGAGAACAGAGAATTGTGAGAGATTATGCGGAATTGGGAGAGAGACTAGGGAGCTGCGAACGAGAACAGAATATTGTGTAATAAGGGAGAAGTGCAAGAATGGAGAATTGTGAGAGAGAGCAAAGAATTGTAGGAGATATTAGGAATTAGGGGAAAGACAAGAAATTATGGGAAAGAACAGAGACTCATAGGTGAGACAGGGAATTGTGGGAAAGAATAAAGAATGGGGGAAGACATCAGGAATTGTAAGAAAAACAGAATTGTGGGAGTGACACAAAATTGTGGACACACAGGGAATTGTGGGAGAGAAGGGAGAATTATGAAAGAGAAGAGATTATTGTGGGTGAAACATGAAATTGTGTAAGAGCACAGAGTATTGTGAGAGAACAGAATTACAAGGGAGACTAAGGAGTTAGGGGAGAGACTACAGAATTGCAAATGAGGATGGAGTATTTTAAGAGAATGGAGGACTGTGAGTGAAAGTGAAGAATTATCAGAGAGAAGAAAGAATTATGAGAAAGATGTGGAATTATGAGAAAGACAGGAAATTGTAGCATATAACACAGAATTGTGGGAGAGAGCAGAATTGTGGGAGAGACATAGATTTGTGGAGAGGACAGGACAAAGAATTGTGGGAGAGACACAGGATTGTGGGAGAGAACAAAAAATTGTGGAAGAGACACAAAATTGTGGGAGAAAAGGTACACTTGTGGGATAGAAAATTGTGAATGAGAATATTGTGAGAAAACAGAATTATGAGAGAATGGGAATTAGGGGAGAGACTGGGGAATTGTGAACAATCATGGAGTATTTTGAGAGAATGGAGAATTGTAAGAGTGGGGAATTCTGTGAAAGAACAAAGAATTGTGGGGGAGATGGGGAATTATAGGAAAGACAGGAAATTGTAGCATAGAATACAGAATTATGGTTGAGATAAGGAATTGTGGGAGAGAACAGAGAATTATGAGAGGAAACCAAAAATTGTGGGAAGAAACATGGAATTATGGGAGACACAGGGAGTTGTGGGAGAACAGAAAACTCAGGGAGAGACAGAAAATTGGGGGAGAGAACAGAGAGTTATGGGAGATACAGGAAACCATGGGAGAGAATACGGTGTTGTGGGAGAGAAGGAATAATTATGAGAATGAAGGGAAAATTGTGAGAGAAAGGAAATCATGAAAAATAATATTGTGAGAGAACAGAATTATGAGAGATAATGGGGAATTACAGGAGAGACTGGGGAATAAGAACAGAGTATTGTGAGCGAACAGAACATTGTGGAAATGAATAATTTTGAGAGAAAAGAATTGTGAGAAACAGAGTCATAGGGAGTGATGGAAAAGACAGAACTGTGGGAGAAACAAAACTGTGGGAAATAGAATTTTGAGAGATACAAGAATTTGAAGGAAAGAATAAAGGATTGCTGAGAAACCCAGCAAATTGTAGGAAAAACAATAGAATTATGGGCAAGACAGGGATTTGTGAGACAGAAAAGTGAATTGTGGGAGACACGGGGAATTGTGGGAGAAACAAGAGAATTGTGAGCAAGACAAGGAATTGTGGGACAGAAAAATGAATTGTGGGAAGGAATAGAATTTTGGAAGTGACTTGGGATTGTGGGAGAAATAAGGAATTGTGGGAGAGACAGAAGATTGTGGAAGGAACTGAGAATTGTGGGAGACAGAATTGTGGGTAACAAAACAGAATTGTGGGAGTGAAAGGGAATTGTGGGAGGGACAAAAGAATTGTGGGTAAAGACAGAAGTTGAGCTGTGATGTAGTCAATGTAGTTGAAATGGAATCCTTGGGCTATCCTGTAGGCAGTTCTGATGCTGGGATGGCCCTTCTGAGTTGCTCCCCCTGGGGCTAGGGGTCTGGACTTACGTGCCCTTGCAGAGACCCTCATAGGATGCAGACCGTCCCCAAGGAGGGAATGTGATTTTGTGTGAAGAAATTCTCTTAGGCAGAGGACAATTCCTGGAGACTCAGCTGAAAGCTGTGAGCCCCCAACACTTCCTGCACCAGGGGGCATCTGGACGTATTTCACAGAGCCACTATAGTTATATAGAAAGATATATGTTTTTTTATTAACACTTTAAGTAACAAGATCAAATTACCTTAATTTCAAAGTAGTGGATGGATGATATTTTGAGACAGGCACAACAACCATATGTGACATAATTTATCTGTGATGTTTATTAGTGCCACATATAGCTAATAGTACTAGGATTTGTTGCCTACATTCCTGACGGAAGAAAATGCTACATTTTTGTTGGAGGTAAATGAAAATACAGACATTCAAAATCACACACCCAGTTAAGAAGAACTTAGCAGCCAGAACACTGTCTTGTTCACTTTTGGATCTCCACCACCGAAGTTATGGGCATCTACTAACGTTTCTTGAATCATTGCTACAATTAAAACTGATGGGATAACATTTAAAAAACCAGAAATTTAAAAACTCCAAAGCACTCCCTCTGCCGCATAAAGCGTACATAGTAGAGCTCTTCACTCTAGGGAAGTCTCTGGACCAGACAGCCTTACCTCCCACAGCTGGCATTTTGAAAAAGGCTCCCGGCCTGGAGGGGCGGGGCCAGAGAGCGGCCCCCGCAGCAGCTACAGGCCGAGGCGAGGAGAGGACGGAAGCTGCTCTCCGTGATTGACGGAAAATACTACTCTTCAGCCCGCCTCCCGCGTGCCCGGAAGTCCCGCCTTCTGAAAAGGAAGTAGGGGTGCGTGAGAACGCCGGCGGTGACCGTGGCCACAGCGGTGACCCAGTGAGAGGAAGGCGGCGGCGGCGGCGGGAAGTCACTGCTGCTGTGGGTTCGGGTTGGCTACTGAAGGCGGTACCGGCCTCTCGGAGCAGCCCGGGGGAGGGCTCAGGTGCAGAAGGGCAGGCTGGCCGCGGCCGGTTTGGTCTGGGGACCGCGGGCTGGAGCAGGTGGGCAAGCGCCGGGACGGTGTGGGGAAGACACTTGGCACCTCCTCGACCTCTGGTGTCACTTCGTTTCTTCGAATTCCTATTCATGCGCCGCACCCTTCCCGGACCCCCAGCCCCTCGCTAAGGCTCTGGGGTCAGGGGTCAAGTCTGGGCTCAGTGGGCCTCCCTTCTTCCTCCACCCGGGTCACCACTCCTAGGAAACCCTCGCCCCACGCCCGCCTCAGGCCTGTACCTCCTGGCTGTGGCGTGGTTTCTCAGCGACTGCCTCACCTCAGTCCCAAAATCCTCACTGCCTTAGATACGTGCCCCCAGAGGTTGGCCTAGGTTTCACAGTATTTCCCTAAGGGGGCGATATATTAAAGCTGTCCCTCGAAGTTAGTACCCTGCCTGGTAGATGCCCATGGGATGACAAAGAGGAGGGAGGAACAAGAGTTGACCAGATTAGAAGAGTCCAGAGACATTAATCTATTTGTTTTGGCAGGTGGAAATTTAAAATTGTTTGGAGTCAACACTGTTTCCAGCCATGGGTTTGTCTCCATCTGCTCCTGCTGTTGCAGTTCAGGCCTCAAACACTTCAGCATCCCCACCTTCAGGATGTCCGATGCACGAAGGGAAAATGAAAGGTAATGGGCCGTTTGTCTAGAAAATGAAAACAAAAGATAATTCACGGCCGGGTGCGGTGGTTCACGCCTGTGACAGCACTTTGGGAGGCCGTGGTGGGTGGATTGCTTGAGCTCAGAAGTTCGAGATCAGCCTGGGCAACATTGCAAAAACCTGCCTCTACAAAAAAATACAAACAGTAGCCAGATGTAGTGGTGGGTGCCCGTAGTACCAGCGACTCGGGAGGTTGAGGTGGGCAGGATCGCCTGGGAGGCCGAGGTTGCAGTGAGCCAAGATTGTGACACTGCACTCCGGCCTGGGTGACAGAGTGAGACTGTCTTAAAAAAATTCTTGAAAGGCTCTAAAGGAAGAGGCAGTGTAGTATGCTGCTGAGGCTGGTAGGCATGGGAGTCAGGCACCCTGGGTCTGGTCCTTATTTTGCGTCTTATTGAGGTTTGTGAGTCTAGACAAGTTAACTCTGTAAGCCGCAGTCTGTCATCTGTAAGATGAGTGTATAATAATATTTCACAAGCCTGTCATGATGATTGAGATAGTACATGAGAACATAGTGAGTACTCTAAACCAGCCCCAACTTCCCAAAGTTTACTTGTGCCTACATCAGTGGTTCTTAACTGGAGGGGGGCAATCGTCCCTTCCCACAGGGGACATTTGCCAATATCTGGAGGCATTTTTGGTTGTCACAAGTGAGAGGAAAGTGAATAGAGGGCAGGAGTGCTCCTAAACATCCTACAATGTACAGAACAGCCCCCCAACAAAGAATCAGCTGGCCCCAAATATCAAGAGGGCCATGGTTGAGAAACCTTGGTCTGGATCTAGCTGTCTTAATAAATAACCTTTGCTCCCATAGCCATTTCAGTATTCTTATATATAAAAGTAAGCCATCACCTAATGGGCTTGCTGTCCATTCTTTAGATAAGAAAATGAAAATGGAAAAGCTGTCTTTCATTATTAATTGATGCAGGTCTACTTTAGATTGTTTGTATTAAAGTGTGGCTTGAATCAGTAAGTCGTGAAGGGCGGAAGCAACATGGTGTGCTTACTGAGTACTAATGCTTGTGATGTTAATTCATTGCTTCAGTCAGCCAGCCTATTCTGAGAGGTCACTGCCCATTCTGTACCAAGCACTACTGGGTTTTGTTTGTTTGTTTCTGCACGAGAGAATAACATTACAAAATGGAGCTTTGCCTGATGGAGCTTACATTCTCATCTTCATAAGCTGTGTGGTCGGTTTTTTCCCTATTTTATAGTCAAGGAAACTAAGACTTGGAGTAACTGATGCTCCAAGTCACATAGTAAGTGGCAAAGCCAGCAAAAGTTCTGTGACCTTGGACAAGGACAGACAGTGTTCTTCTGGGGTTTCTTTGTACAGGAAGAATTGAGACAGATCAGCCAAAGCAGGTGTGCTGCTATTCTGAGTGTCCTCAGCGAGATCCTAGAACTCTTTCCTTGGTTTTATTTCATTTGCTGTATATCTTTGAGAGCTGCCAGACTTATTACATTAATAAAGAATGTGGGTGTCTATAGGAGATCATAGGGGCTACTGGTTATATGATGTGAAAAATTGAAATGTTATTTTCTTTCTAACACCCAGCTGGGATCTATGACTTGAAAAGGATTGGTGCTTTCAGTGGTAGAGAAGAAAGGCATAGCAAGTCTTCACCCCTAAAGTGGGCAGTGGCACAGGGCACCAGGAAATAAGGGCTTGGGAGGAGAAGTGCAGGGAAGGAAGTGAAAGCAAACTCATCTTTTTCATGTGTATTGTTGTAGTTATTGCTGCTGCCTGAGGCCAAGATTCCATTACATGAGCAGCTGTCTTCTGTGTCACAGCTCTCCAAGTGCCTGCTCATTCTCTGAATCAGTTTCCCAGTCTCCCACTAATTGGGATCAGCATCCTGGGTCTTTGGGCATAACCCTTGCTATTGCTCATCTCATTAGGCTCAGACCTTCCCTTGTAATGGGCATCTTGATCCTGTATGGGTTGTAGAATGTTTTCTTTTATTGTCTGCCTTTTCCTGTTAAACTCTTGCCGTTGACTGATGGGAATAGGCCCTAGGCCACGTGGTTTTCCTATGCCTTGTTTCAGTCTTGGGACAAAGCAGAGTGGCATTCAGATTTTTTTGCAGTAGCCTTTGTGATGTCTCCTCTGTTCATTTTCTTCTCCCATTCCTTGTACCTGAGATAATGCATCAGTAATGAAAGCCTGGATTGCAACTGTGTCCTGTTTGGGGCTGGACTTCTCTGGAACAAGTGAATGAAAAGTCAAGGAGACCCTGTGAAATGTGGCTGGTCCCCACTTAGGTTCCTCTAACAGCTCCCCAGCTGCTCCTTCAGCCAGGTTACTTAAACCATGGCATGGATAACACGTGCTCTTGCAACTGCCAAGGTTTTTTGGCTTATTTTTGCTGGGGGTGTGATACAATTAGAGAATGGGTACTCATTTTTCTTTCAAAGGAAATGTAAATTTGTAGAACCTTCTCATCTTTAGGATTTTGGAATGTTAGCTAGTTCACTTTTTGGTAGATTTAAATGGAAGAAACCTGACTTTTCCTGTGGTGGTAATCATTGGTCAGAAATTCAGCACTTTAGTGCTTCAATTGAGAGAGCTAGATGTCCTGCCTTCATAGTGACACCATTTTTATACTTGATTATTTCAGAGTGTCCAGTGAGTACAGTGCCATCTGGCCCAAACTGTGAGAAGAAAACATACTCTGTGCCTGCCCACCAGGAACGCGCCTATGAGTACGTGGAGTGTCCCATTAGGGGCACTGCTGCTGAGAATAAGGAGAACCTAGATCCTTCAAATCTGGTAATCCACACTCATGTTTTCTTTCTGGAGCTTTTTATGCAGAGTTGCTTGTACAGACTCCTAAGACAAGTTGCAGATGGCTAGGATGAATTCTTCTGTCCTTTGAAAACAGGGAAGTTAGATATTCCATCTATAGTGAAAATCTAGATGTGTTAGTAAGTGTAGTTTCAGGGAGTGCCTGGGGAAAAAAAATAAAAAACCAGTGATTATGAGCAGCCAGCATAGTTGTACTGGGAATAAGCCATACCAAATGAATATTTTCTTCTGGGAGAGTTACTAGGTAGGTGGTAGATGGGAAATTCTGTAAGAACCATAGCTAGAGTTAATTAAGGTATCTTTGGTCTAGGGAAACTTTGTAGACACATTACATGATTGGGGAACTTCTTCAGGTACAATAGGGTGCCAGCCTGCACGAGTCATTAGGGTGGTTCACTGTTGTGTGACTGCCAGCAAATTTAATGCCATTGAGAAGTGAGGGCAAGGTAGATGTGACATCACTACATTTTGTGATGGACAGCATCAGAGATTGTGGTCTAAAGTTTGCAATCATGTTTTAACAGGAGGCTCAGGCATATACTTTAGAGGGCCACGGGATTATCAGGAGTAGAAATTTTAGCAAACCAGGCAGCATGTAAAGAAACTAGAAATATTTAGCCTGGAAAAGAAAGGGTGTGGGAGATACAATAGCAGCGTCCACCTCAGGAATCAACAAACTATGGCCCACTGCCTGTTTTTGAAAATAAAGTTTTGGACAATGCACCAAGATTATCTTGCACATAGGCCTTCAAATATTTGCACCAGAGGTCTTTGGCAAACTGCTTCTATAAAGGGCCAGGTAGTAAATATGTTTGGTTCTATGGGCCATAGGGTCTCTGTCATACTACTCAGTTTTGCTGCTGCTGCTTTCTCTGTAGCATGAAAGCAGTGACAGACAACATTATCCGAAGCCCCTGGCAGACCACTGGCCTAGATGATCTCTAATAGGTGAGTGGTTCAGAACATGGACCTTTTGGAATCTTACAGACCTAGACACTTACCCCATGGGATCATGATATGTAGTGAGAATATGAATAACAGCTAACTTTTCTTTTGGTCCCTTTTTAAAAATTTTTTCATTCAAGGTTAGCCAACTGAAGCAGTGGGAGAGGAGAAGTAACAAAGAAATCTGTAA